GGAGACATGTGAAATTGATCAATATTATAAAATAATAAATTTAAATAATTAGTATTTTGTGCGGTTCTTCCGTTGAAGGACATCCTGTCCTTTTCTTTCCTTGCCCCTCCCATATCTCCGTCCTTGTCACTCGCCAAATACGTTCGCCGCAAGGGCGCGCTGATAAAAAAAGTCGGTTCCGGTTTTGGATGCATTCGACGTAGAAGTTTTTCGCGAGTGCTCCGAATTGAAAATTAATATAGGCGACATTACTGCCTCGGAACTCATATATAAACCTGTGAAGTATCTATTATACATGTGTAACAAATAAAGGTGTTGTGTTTGTGGCCACAAAAAACTCAAGTGCAAGTGAAAACCGCTGACCGGCGTGGACTCGCCAACCATATACAACGTGTCCCAAAATTCAACGATAAGCGGGCGCCAAGAGGTAGACCTGCTCATGTGTACTTATGGAAAAATAAGAAAAAAATTATATCTTATTAATCTTTTTTATTATAAAATAAAATTCGAAAATCTTCGAAAATTTACACCTTTTATGATATTTTCAACTACCACGACCACAACTTCTCAATTATGTTCAATCTTTTTTTGGTATCGGATACCTAAGTAGCACTACTATTCGCTACAACTCTTAAAAACACCAAAATGCCCGCAGTTTTTACACAAAAACAATGAAAATGTATTTTTTCCTTAAATTTTCACAGATTTTTACGTTCCGTAATCTTTGACTTACGGTCTTGTAAAAAAAAAGTATGGACACCACTGTGGCAAGTTGTTTTTAATTGCTAATTTTCTCTGTACCACTTATCTAATAGGAATACACTTTTTAAAGCGCATATATTATTATGATATATACAGCTTACAATATCTGAAGAAGTTGAATATTTATCATACAAAGTTGCTAAGCTTGGACAATTTTGATCTTCTAGATTATGTACATTGTTATTGTTATTTTGCTTTTCCTCTCCAAGGTTCTCGAAGCCGCTGTCCATAAACAACTTTCATCCTTTGTTTTTCGTCATCAGCTCCTTTCCCCTTTCCAATCAGGATTCCGCCCGGGTCATAGCACTTCCACTGCCCTTATTAAAATCGATGACGACATTCGTGACGGTATGGAGAACTCTCGTTTAACTGTGTTAGTTTTACTAGATTTTTCTAACGCTTTTAACACAGTTGATTACGATATCCTCCTTGCTCTTCTCTCCCAGCTTGGCTGTTCTTCATCCGTGCTCGCTTGGTTCTCCTCTTATCTTCATGGATGCCAGCAGGTAGTACGAATGGGTAATTCAGTTTCTAACTGGTGTAACTTGTTTGCTGGTGTCCCTCAAGGCGGTGTGCTCTCTCCTCTTCTCTTTTCAATTTTTATTAACTCCCTCACCTCTGTTCTTACAACCTCTTATCACCTGTACGCCGATAACCTGCAGATATATGCTCAGGATGACATTCACAACCTTAATAGAGCCATATGTACACTGAACCAAAATCTTGCGCGGATATTTGAATGGTCAAATAACTTCGGTATTTCTGTCAATCCCAACAAATGTCAGGCCATTATTATCGGTAGCTCCCAACAAATACCGCAAACTAACCTCGACACAATTCCAGCTGTTACCTATGCTGACTCGGTGATTCCTTATGCTGCTAAGGTAAAAAATCTTGGGCTTGTTCTTGACAGTACTTTGCACTGGGATGATCAGATGGACAACGTCTGCAGTAAAATCCATCGCACCCTCGGATCGCTTTATCGACTTAAGAACTTTCTCCCTCCCCGTACTAAGTCTGCTCTCGTCCAAGCTCTTGTACATCCCCTTTTCGACTATGCTGATGTTTGTACTTCTGATATCAATGAAACCTTTCTTAATAGATTGGATCGTCTTCTGAACAATACTATTCGTTTTGTTTTCGGTCTACGCAAATATGACCACATCTCCAATTTTCGTCAACATCTTAAGTGGCTTCCTATTCGGGAGCGTAGGTGCTTAAGGATTGTTTGCACACTTTTCCAGATACTTTTCGATCCACGAGCACCTGAGTATTTGAAATCGCGGTTTGAAATCCTCGGTGCCTCTCACCTGAAAAATCTTCGTTCTAGTAGTAGACTGGTACTCCAAACCCCTTCTCATCATTCTTGTTTTGTATCTCATTCCTTCACTCTAACCGCCATCCGTCTTTGGAATGCACTACCTTTGAACGTCCGGATTGCTCCTAACAAATTTGCATTCAAGACAGCAGCTCGCAACTTCTATTATGCTTCAAAGAAGATTTCTTGATCAGACACCTTTTACGTACTTTGTGTTATAGCTATATATATGCATTTATTTATGTATGTGTATGTATGTATTTTATGTATATTTAGATATAGTTCTTATGCAGAGATATCAATAGCGTATTGTCGCCAATCGCCACTTTAAGTATTGTACTAAATTTACTGGTTGACTGGTAAAGAATGCCTCTTTGGCATTAAGTCCGCCATTTGTCTATTTCACTAGGCAATTTAGATTAAATAAATAAATTATTAAACATACCTTTGATCCATAAAACTTTTTCATGCCCTTTAGTTAATATACATTTATTGCTTAAAAATCACTCACATTTTTATTAAAATTATAATAAGGTACAAATCCGTCATTCCAATAAATACCTCTATTTTTTTCTATCCAGGCTACTCGCAAACGTTCTTTCTTCGTTAAATTATAAAATGCATATGGTGGTTTTATTAACAATACAATGAGATGCCTATTGCTAATTGACAGGATTGCTATTTCTTTTGGAAGAAACCGGTTTTGATCATCCTTTAATCGTTGGACATCTACAATCACATTCATGATAATTTTCTTACGATGTTGCTGAGCGGTTTGTATTCAAAAAGCCGATCATTTATTATCAAGCAATAAGCAGTTGTGTTTTCTGGTATATTCTGCGAACATTCGATTTCTATTCGAACATCAATGGGTCCACTTTTAATTGAATCGTTTTGTCTTGAACAGTTTATTACAAACAATGGAGCTTTTTCCTTAAATTTAATCAAGTCCAGCAATGGATCAACACCAGCGTTGTAATACGACTGACGAAAGTTAGCATACATTTCATATAATATACTATATTTACTCTCATCAAATTTTAGATTAAGCGAGTCATATGGAAAGTATTGGGAATTTAAAAATAACTTAAAATTAGTAATGTTACAATGGTCAAAAATCTATGAACTTCTAGCCTTATTAGATTTTCTGTTAGTTTGTAATCCGAAAATTACATATCTTGGTTTTTCCAGCTGAGAAGCAGTTTTGATGGACCATGAATACTTTGTTGTTTTTGGTAATAACGGATATTCGTACAAGTCCCAATTTCTAAACGCTAACTGGATAGGACGATCTTTCTCTAAATGTTTGAGTAATAATAATTTATTACGATCAGCAACTTTATTTGAGGAACACGCCACTGAACTTTTTGTATAACTATTTCAACGCTTTTGTTGTTTTCTAAAACTACACTATTTTCAACAGAACTACTTCTCTGTAATATCAGCTCATGTCTACAATTTATAATTATTTTATTATAATCTTCAGCAAATCCCAATATTTTTATTTAACGGCATAATAGCACTAAAATGACCATCTTTCTGTTTGGTACCATTTACATTCCATCCCCATACAGCTGCTGCTTTATTTTCACCTACATTCATGGATATAAAAGATTTAATTGTAGTAGTAATTCCAGCATTTTTGGCGCGATCAATTTCAACACCATTTAATTCATATCGTATATCTTGAAACAAATATGACAGTGGGTTGTTGATAAAATTAATATCTTTTTTTTTGCTGCTGGATCTTTAGAAATCACATGTGCATAGCCTTCTATGTAAATAGAACTATCTGAAGGCAGTACATATACATCTTGTTGATGAATAGGTATTCTTATGTCATCATTATCGATACCGGAAATTTCAATTGTCGTAAAGGACAAAACACTAGTTTTCAGTAGAGCCAAAAAACAAAAACAAAAAATGTTTTTGTCTAATAACTTTGTCAAATAAAGTGCTATATTTATGATGTCAAAAGAGACTCCAACTATTTTTTCTTGTTCTTTCCTTATAATTTAACTAAATAAATCAAACTTAATTATTGATGAAAATGAGCGTCCTTTACAGCCCACAAAAAAATTACTGAAGTGCTTTACAGCCACGAAAAATTAGTTATGATAGAGTCAGATGTGTCGTAAAGGACTATTGTTGATCATCAGTGGGTACTACAAGTCAATTAATTATGAGACCAAGGGGGTAAAAGGAATAAAATAACTATTATACTACTGCTACTATTTAAGAATAAGGTAGTAAAACTAAATGAATTAAAATATTATTTATTGGTTTTTATTTGATGATTGATAATCAAAGAAATTAATAAAATAAAGTGACAAAATGTTATCCTAATATGAACTCAAATTTTAAGAAAAGGGTGATGCTATTTTTTAATTTAAATCGCAAGTAATTGTTGCGATGCTGTAAAACTATTAAAACTTGTAGATAATAAACGTTTAAACAATCTAGTTTTATTTAATTATTATTAATCAACTCTATAAAATAAAAATGTTTTTCAAATTTAATTAAAATAACGAAAATAACAATAAATTATGCTTACCAAATCTCAAAACTCACACAATTGACATTCTAAAGTATTAATTAAATAGCAAGTAACATCAGTCTTTTAAAATTACTATTCAGTTTATTTTTATTAATAAATAAACCTTTTAAAATACACAACAAAGTTTAATTATTACTTTTTTAATCATTGTTTTTAAGACAATGTTTAATATTTATTCCATATTTAGTGAGATATAGTACCCATAACCTCGCTGGGAGCATTGAATATAGTGGTTATAGTAATTAAATTAAAGGAAACATTTAAATTTTATTTTTATGAAATACCATTATATTCAATGCTCTACCGAGGTTATGGATTCTTATCCCACAGAAAAATGGGATAATTTTTTTTAATTAAAATAATTTAACTATTAATTGTGTCGATGTCGTCTTCCTCGTCTGTTTCAGGAAGAATGTCTTTAACCGTTGCTAAAGATGGTAGATCTAAATATTCTTTATGAAAACGCTTTGGTATAGTTCCGTTAGTACATAAACGTTTTAAATCGTTATATTTGGTGATTGATATAGGGTTAGGTTTGTCATAAAGTCTTGGTAAACTAATATTAGTAGGATCTTCTACTCCGACGGCACCTGTAAGATCTTGGTTTGGTCTTTTTGTTTTTTTGCCTTTTCCTTTTGACCTTCTTCCTTTATATTCATCATATAATGTTACTACATGAGCTTCTTCGTTTTTGCTCATTGAATATTTGACTTCCATGCTTTTAGCGTTTTTTTTCTTAAATGTGACAATGCGCATAGCTTTTAGCTGTATTTGCTTTTGGGACATAATGGTAAATTTTTCAGAAACCAAGCTGTCCCACTTAATAAAATCGGAGTACTCCAAAACATTAATTTTGTATGGTTCAGGACGTTTTCTTGCAGATTCTATGTATGTCGGCCATTGACTTGGACTCCAAACAATAATTCGTTTAACCTCACGTTCAATCACTGCATGCATTGAATCCACAGGCATATAAGTATGCCCAGGTAATAAATAATTTATTTGTACCACTTCTATGTTGTTGGAATTCTGTAAAAAGTAGTGTATAGCTGTGAGAACTATTTTGTTTTTGTTCTGCCTAGGACAGGAGTCGCAATAGAATAAAACATTTCTAATAGGACGCTCATCAATTTTTAGGAGGAATTTATAAATACAAGTAGCAATTTCGTTTCCACCCCTTTTTCCATCACTTTCTCCCCATATATAACAATGTCCTATTTTGGTTTGGCTTTCATAAAATGTACAGTTATAAACGGCGTATTTCCTAGAGTAATATAACAACATACTCTCTCCGTGAGGAGTGTTAAGCACTTTTTGCAGATCGAAGCTAACAGTGAGCGTATCGTTGGAAGTTAATTTCTGATGGATGTTAAATCTTTGATAGCAGGCTTTCTTTTCCTCGAGATGAACAGCCATTTCGTTAATTTCTTTTTCTGATAATAATTCTGCATTTTCAGCTTTGTACAGATTACACATTTGTCTTTTTTGGGTGTATGGAATCGAATATTGTAATCATCATTGAATATTTTCTTAAAAACTTTTTCACTTAGGTTTAATTTAGAATTATTTTGGCAGTGTTTGAGATAAATCCTAAATAAATTTGTAATATTTTTGAATTCTTGAGGTAAATATAGACATGAACTCTTTTGACGACAATAATGCGAAGGAACGGCTGGAAGGTTTTCTATAAAAGTTTTTGCGTATGCTTTATCTTCGTCACTATACTTATCTGCATGACATGTTCCCTTTTCTACGCTGGCCATATTTTCGTGTGCATTGTTTACTGTATATAAAATAAACTTTTGGGTGATGTCTAAAGTGTTAATCAAAAACTTTTGACAAACTGGTCTATATCCTTCACCTTCATTCAAAACATATTCAAATGATTGGCTTCTTCTGCTTTCAACACAGTTGGTTTTTTTTCCTTTTAATAGGAATCCTTTGTGCGCTTCTTACGATCCAGTCTTTTCGACGTTGAACATCTAGATTCCAGAAATATTTAAATAGGCCCATTCTTCTTTCCTCTGACACTTCGTAACATTTTCTAGAACATACGCCAGGTAAACATGGGTTTATTTTCATCGTTTTCTCTTCTACTGTGCTTCCTGATCTTGTTTCATAAGACTTACCGGCGTTTCTTTGTTGTTTCCTAAGCTTAGTTTTGTTTTCTTTTTTGGTTTTGACCTTAATTAAGTTTTCTATGGTATTGGCTGTCTTTTCGTTCTTATCTGTTACTTTTTGTTTCTTTTTAGTACACTTTTTCTTTTTATTCTCTCTATTAATTGAACTCTCGGACTCATTCATACTCCAAAGATCAGAACTACCTGCTGAAAAGTCTTCATTGTCAGAAAGATAATCAACGTAGGATTTTAAAATCTTATTACGAAATTTCTTACTACGTATTGATTGTTTAGAATTCATATCGAGATCACTGGTGTCAGTTATTGAATCAAAAAACGATGTATCAAAAGTAATGATTGAAGGAGAACCCTTTTGTATACTTATAACGTCAGATGGAGTAGTTTGAGCGGTCTTTTCTATTTCAGGTGCAGGTGAAAAGACAACATCTGATGGCACGCCCTGGACAACGTCAGCAGTAAGTACCTCGTCAACAGGAGAAGTCTGAGCAATTTTCTCAATTTCAGGTGTGGGTGCAAAGACAACATCTGAAGGCACGCCCTGGACAACGTCAGCCGTAAGTACCTCGTCAACAGGAGAAGTCTGAGCAATTTTCTCTATTTCAGGTGCGGGTGTAAAGACAACATCTGAAGGCACGCCCTGGACAACGTCAGCGGTAAGTACCTCGGCAACAGGAGTATTTTGAGAGAATTTCTCTATTTCAGGTGCGAGTGCAAAGACAACATCTGAAGGCACGCCCTGAACAACGTCAGCGGTAAGTACCTCGGCAACAGGAGTATTTTGAGAGAATTTCTCTATTTTAGGTGCGGGTGCAAAGACAACATCTGAAGGCACGCCCTGGACAAAGTCAGCGGTAAGTACCTCGTCAATAGGAATAGTCTGAGAAATCTTCTCCTTTTCAGGTGCGGGTGCAAAGACAGCATCCGAAAGCATGTCTTGGACAACGTCAGCGGTAAGTATCTCGTCAACAGAAGTAGTCTGAGCGGTATTCTTTATTTCTGGTGCAGATGCAAAGGCAACATCCGAAGGCATGTCCTGGATATCGTCAACGATATGTACCTCGTCAACAGGTGTAGCCTGAGAGTTAAATTGTTGTGCTTTTCGGTTTTGACATGTAAGCGGTGATGATAATAATATTATACTATTATTAGTGGAAGCCACAGAATTTTGATCAAACTTAACGGATCGTAAATATTTTTTTAGCTCTCTTTTCGAAACTTTTTCATTTCGTTTAATATTTACTTTGCTTTTTTGTCCAATATTAGAAAATGTGTTCAAGTTCTCACTATAATATTCTTCATCTGTGTCATCTATGACTTCACTACTATTAGCAGAATATTGAAGGAAGTCCCCACTAGGATGCTGCAAGTTCCTGAAAAAACATAAAAAAACTTAATAAGGCTGAGTAACATAAATTATTATACAGTCATATATCGTTTGCCAATTGATCTATTTATCTATAATATCTAGATATGTAAAAATATCCATAACAATTAAAACGAACTAGCTGCACTCTGCGGTTTCATCTGTGTAAGTTTTGATATAGTATAAATGTCTGAATAAATACGTAGTAGCCTGTGTTAAACTAGTTGTGTGTAAATAACATTTACACGCATAATTATGTATAATTTTATACACACTTTCGCTTTTGAATTTGTGTGTTATAAAATATAGTTAATTTAACTTACGTGGCAACATTATTATCGATTTCATAGTATTTATCTGCAACCATTGTTTCTTCAAGAATTGGACGGTTATTTTCACTACTTGTACTGATTTGGCCAGCATCATAATAATGCTCAGCATCGACTCTAAAATAGTGACAAATCAATAGGTAAAATGTATAATAGACCGAACAAAGCGAATGAGTCTATTATGACAAATATGCACTTGTATGTTTATTAGTCCGTCTATAGTCGGACTTATAAACATACAACTCGTGAACCGTTTATCCGATTTTCATTTATAGTTTGTACCTACCTAGTTTGCTTCAAAAAAAATTGGAAGTTCGAGGATGAACCAAATCGGCCAAAGGGTTCCGAAGCTATGGGGATCGCAATTGTCAAGGTACGCGATTCGCGCGCTAACCGCAAGTAGATACATAGTTTATAATTTGCACCAGACATACGTTATAAAGCAAATAAAAAGTTGTGATGTCCTTTACGACTATACGAGCAGTCCTATAACCCGCGTAGTTCTCGTTCTTGGGAGAAGGTGGCTTCATACGATAATTTAAATAAACTAACGCAACTAGGTGTCTACCTATTTGTGAAAAAAATCAGAGAATGAGCTCATAATTCCAGATACAGTTTTATTTTTTAAGTGAATGTGATAGCTATAGACTTAGATGCTCTAAGGCTAAAGATCGTTCGTCGGCTCTATTCTAATTCTGAACACAGTAGGTATTAAAATTCAAATCTAAACATCACAGAATTTTTCAAATGTTATTTTCAGTTAAAAAAAGTATACCTAATAGAAATAGATTACGGACGAAAACATCTTTTTTTATCGGTTCATTTTAATTAAATTGCTAACATTAAATTATGATTAATTAAATCCCTTACCGTAACATCTTGCTTTGAACCCGTGATATTGAATCTACTTTTCTTTTTCTTGATTCTAACGAATTCATATTCACAAAACAAACACGTTATTTACCACTAACAATATCGCACAAAATGGCATTACAAAATGATTCGTATGAGTCGCAATCCTCTTCCACCCGTTACTTACACCCCCGTTGCCCTAGGCAACGTGCGTCCGCGCTGCTTGTCGGCACGGGTCGTAACCTGTCGCACATGCCTTTGCGCCATCGGCATTATGAGTGAGATAAAAAACTTTTTCCTAAAATTAGGGTCGTAAAGGACGATAAGAACCAAACGACCTTTACACCCTAAATACAAAATATAAAACGAAGCACAGATTAGAGCGTAAAGGTATCTGTTATCAAATAACATGTTTACAACCATTTGATTTGTGATTAATTGTATTGTTTTTGACATCGTATAAAAAAATTAATGCAAAAATGTAATTATGACCTCATAAATAATTAAAACATAACTTTACGCTCCCTTTTGAAAATTAGTTTTACTATACATCCCAAACAGTAAAAATAAACGAGCTAGAGCTGTTGAAAATCCAAGTCGTAAGGGGCTTTTTTTTAAAGATAGGGTTATGTTAAATGAGAAGTAATTAAAAGGTCAGCCATAAAAAAATTTGGTTAGCCACAAAAATCAGTATTTTAATCGTTTGATCAGCATTTAAAGATTTTGTATGCAAGAAAAATAAAACAATCGGCAATCCTTGTTTCGCAAATAATCTTGATAATGATCAGTAATTTAATCATATACAGTCAGCTTAAAATAATATGTGTATGTCAAATAAACAGTCTATCCCCAAAATAACTACTTGATCAGAAAGATTCAGGATTGGTCAGCAAGAAATATGTGTCCGGTTAGCAGTTCATTTGATCGGTTTGCGTATTTAAAGCATGGTTAGAAGAATAACTAATTGGTTTGCATTTTTATTGAAAAGTCTGCAATGTACGTTAAAAGTGGGCAGAGCAAGAGTAGTCGCAAGATACTAGTAGCCAATCGCGTGCGTTTATTGTCATTCGGTGTTTATGCGGCGATTAGTAGCTGTCAAATTACAGTGATAACAACTTGTTTTATGTTAATTAGTGTGAATTTTGATATTTTGCGAGTGTTATATGAGTACTGTAGGTAGCAGCCGGGACCGACGGCTTAACGTGCCCTCCGAAGCACGGAATCATCTTACTTTCGGACAATCAGGTGATTCAGGCCTGCAATGTCCTAACCAAACTGGGAAAAACTCACAAAGAAATATTTGAGAGTGTCCCCACCGGGAATCGAACCCAGTACCTTCGGATCGAGAGCCTAACGCTCTTACCACTAGGACATGGAGGCAGTTAATTTAATTAGTTAGTTTACTCTAAATACCCATTCATTATTTTTGTAAGGAATGCGCCCATTTTGCGCCAGTCATTATTGCTATTTTTATATGCTTCACAAAATTAGATTAGTTGCTTCCCTCTAAGTGCTGTTCAAAATTGTATTTAACATGCGTCACTCATTGCAGCTTATATGATTATTATACTAATAAAAAATAATTACAGTCGTCCAGAATGTAAAAAATTGTCAATTGCTTTGATATTGTTTGCTAGCCATGGTCTGCTGACTAATCATATATTTCAACTGACAGAATACATTTTTCTGCTAGCAAAAATGTGAATACTATGCTAACCCGTTAAATAACACCCATGTTAAATATACCAATCGATAGAGCTTGCGACGCTGATTCCGAATATATATATAAATCATTTTCGGCAAATTGTCCTTTACGACAATTGAAATTTCCGGTATCGTTATCATTAAAGCTGTTACTATAAGGATTGTAACTATGGATTTCATAGCTCTCAATCGAATTATCATGATGAGGCAGATCTGTGATTTGCAACAATTTTTAATTTAATTTAAATCCAAGGTTTTTCAAAAATATTTTATTTTCTTTCGTGATTTGTTTCGTTTTCACAACACTGGCACGTCTAAGGTCTTTCAACACGGAGAGTGGAATATTATGTTTGTCCCTTACAATAACGCTTTTATTAAATCAATCATATTTTCTTTTCTTCTTAGATAATAATAATAATAAATATAAAAATAAAATGTAAATGTAAATATACTTTAAATTGGAATATACTCAGCAGTACTCAGCACTAGTATCATCAAGCACAAACCATTATATAATACGCATGAGACAATTTGCTAAGTATTATTCAATTTTAGAACTTATACTATTTTTCTCCCAGAACGACTTTAAAATTTTTAAACATAAATGCCCGCAATTGTATAAATTATTTTTTTGTAAATTATCATAGTTATAATTTATATTTTTTCCTAAATATATTAATAATTCTTTTGGTGGTTTTAGATTACCGTAACTATCGAAATATTCGATATAATCATTCAATTTCGCGTAGGCTACCCAGTGAGTTCCAGAGTTTTGAAATGTATCGAGATTTATAACACCACATTCTGTGATATATGGCTTGTATGACTTCATACTCAGAAAACATGATAGCTAGATGGTTCAAATGTTCACAGATGATGTATTTCTGTTATAAATATATTAAGTATGGGAGCCCTCCCATAGAACCAACATGACTTTTTTTTTGCGTTTCTCGCAGATAAATTGTACGTGAGTCCGAGTCGTAGTGCCGCGATAATGAGAACGGAGAAAGCTTCAGATTTCGAAAATTAGTGATGATCGGAGTAAAGGGAATTCTCACTCTCTCGCAAATCTCTTCTATTGTTTTAATAAAGACAATGTTACGAGGTAATAAAGTATCAATTCGTTTGTGCTTTCCGTTAATACGTTCCCGATTACTATACGTTGGCTAAAAAGCGCATATTTAAGGTCCCCCTGCCTAGTGTTCGCACCGCATTTGCCCAACGTTTCCCTTTTTTTTCCCACCCTTATATCTACAATAGGATTAACCGTAAAAGCCCGGTACATAGTTTCTGCTTGCGTAAAGCTAAATTAGTTACCAAAAACTGGTTGATGAGTCTGAACTATACAGAGACTGAACACCTCCTTCCATCAACTGGCTGACATGCTGCCCTTATTCTTCACATCACACTTTACACTACACAACTTACACACCTTTGTACACCCAAATGAACGATCGCATTTATTGTTTACCTTGCTAAATTGTTTAAGAATTAATAATAAACTATGATCTATAAATTTTCCTAATGATCTAATAATTCTTTGAGTTAAGTGTGCAATGATTATTTTGTTTTCTTCTGGTGTTCACCTTCGGTCACTACTGTTCAGGTCTGCGAGCCTAGTGTAGTGATCACTGCCTAGCTAAGTAATTGTACGCTGTTTGGAAAATAAATAATATTTGATTTTGATTTGATTTGAATAGGCTACTTCCTAATTCACGCAACAATCCAGTTGACTCACTAGCAGCTGTCGAATGCGTTTGATTTTATTTTGCTCTTGAATGGTTTCTTTTTTTAGAAAGCGCATTTTCTTTACCAAAGACACATCATAAATTAAATTTCATTGTGAACCGAGTTCATATGCCTATATTATTTATTTAAGATTGCTTTTAAAATTTCCTGCTACTAAATTAACTGAGAACGTTGATGACTTTAGGAAAAGATATGGCACGATAGCGTATTTCATTTTGACACTGCACGTTTCTCTGACGTTCTAGTTTCAAATATTTAAGTATTAATAAAGTACTAAATATTTCAGTGACAGTTTGATAGGTGTCGAGCGTTTCTGCGAGTACTAATTCTGGATGAACCGGACATAACTTCACGTGGCCTATTCGTTTTTCTGGAATTACTTTTCCGAATAACGGAGAAAATGCAAAATGATTATTTTAAAATTGCTGTTTTATTAAAAAATGATAAATGAAAAAATCGAAACACCGATAAATAGTTAGAAACCATATTGATTTGATTTTAATTTCCATTTAGTTCACATAAACGTTCTTTGTTTGCATGCGAAATAAAGATAAAAACTAAAAGGTGCAATCCTGAAAACATCAGTTAATATTTTCAGGAAATCCGTAAATGTAAACTAAAATATGCTACTTCATTAAATTTACTCAGCCAACGCTTAGATTATTTTATAAATTTACCATTTTTCTTTGAAAACAAACCGAAAAGAAATGTTTATATGAAAACAGAATATATAACATTAGGACAGGTTGATATTTGAGCTACTGTCAGCTGAAACTCGTCCTATTAAACCCAAAGCTCATGGCAAAATACATTATTTGGGACTATCGGATCATGATACAGCACAATCACTGATGATTCCAATAGGCAACAGACGAGGTAAATTGAAATATTTTTTTATTAAGAGGCGAGATTTTAGTTCGGAAAACATAGACAAACTCAATGAGTGCTTGAAGAAATTAACTTGGTCGGAAATTTATAATGAATCTGACGTAAATAAAGCCTTTAATACTTTTCACGAGTCTTTGACATTATTTTATAATTTATATGCTCCTTTTAAATATAAAGGAATGCTCCTTTTAAAACTGTCAAAATAATACCGCAACAAAAAAGTAATCAATGGATAACGAAAGGGATACGTAAAGCATGTAGGCAAAAAGATAACTTAGATACATATATTACAAAAAAAGAAACGTAAAAAACAAAATAAGGTATCAGAAATACTCGAATGTATTAAAAAAGTGTATTAATATTTCGCCAAAAAATTGTAATAAGAGATATATGGATAACAGTACCAACATTTGTAAAGCATCTTGGAATTTAATAAAAAATAACAATGCAAAAAATCCAAAGAATTATCTAAGAGAAATTATACATAATAATAATATAATTAATAAACCAGAAGAAATTGCTACAAAATTTAATGAATACTGGGCAAATTTGGGTTCTGAACATAATGAACCTATACACGTAAAAACAGCTGCTAACAATGTACAGTATATTGATGCTAGTATCTTTCTCTTTCCAACTGATGATACCAAAATAAGCAAAATAATAGCAACATTGAAAAATACAACCTCTATGGGCTATGACGAACTCACCACAAATATTATTAAAGCAAATAAATCAGAAATCGCGCCAGTTCTAAGTTATTTAATTAATCTATCCTTCATACAAGGGGTCTTTCCAGAAAAATAAAAAGTTACAATTATAAAACCCTTACATAAAGCCGGCAAAACAAACTCAGTAGATAATTATAGGCCCATTGCCTTGATACCCATACTATCTAAAATATTTGAGAAAGCTATGCTGGTTAGGTTGAA